ACCTTGGACTTCCTCCCTGAGTATCATTGGCTCTTGATCATATGCTACCTCTTGAAATGGTTGAACATCAACCATTTCCTTTTAGTACAGTGACTGTGTGTATTCTTTCCATCTTCTTTTGATGCTTTCTGCATCATTCAATAATTTTCCCAGAGGATCTTTCAATAACGAAAGATGAGGCTTGAGTTTTTTTCTTCAGTTCATCCAGCTTGAGAAATGCTTAGCGTGTTCTTCCTTTTTGGTTTTCTGACTCCAGATCTTTGCACATTTTGTTATAATATTTGGCTTTATCTTCTCGAGCTGACCTTTGAAATTTTCTGTTCAGCTCTTGTACCTCCTCATTTCTTCCATTTGCTTTAGCATCTCTACATTGTAGAGCAAGTTTCAATGTCTCTTCTGACATCCATTTTAAACTTTTCCCTCTTTCTTGTCTTCTTAGTGACTTTTTGCTTTTTTCCTGTATGATGTTCTTGATGTCATCCCACAACTCTTCTTGTCTTCCATCTTTAGTGTCTAATGTATCAAATCTGTTCTTCAAATGATCTCTAAATTCAGTTGGGATATATTCAAGGTTATATTTTGGCTCTTGTGGACTTGTTTACATTTTCTTCAGCTTCAGTTTGAATTTGCATAGGAGCAATTGGTGGTCTGTTCCACAGTCTGCCCCTGGCCTTGTTTTGGCTGATGATATGGAGCTTTCCCATTGTCTCTTTCCACAGATGTAGTCAATTTAATTTCTATGTATTCCCTCTGGTGAGGTTCATGTGTATAGTGATCTCTTATGCTGTCTAAAGAAGGTATTTGAAATGAACAAATCATTGATTTTGCTGACTTCTTTCATGCGTTCTCCAGCATCACTTCTATCACTAAGGCCATATTTTTCAACTACTGATCCTTCCACTTTGCTCCCAACCTTTGCATTCCAATCACCAGTAGTGATCAATACATCTTAATGGCATGTTTGATCAATTTCAGATTGAAGAAGTTGTCAGACATCTTCTATTTCCTCCTCACTGGCTTTTAGTGGTTGGTGCATATATTTGAATAATAGTGGTATTAACTGGTCTTCCCTTTAGGCACTTGGATATTATCCTATCACAGACAGCATTGTACCTCATGACTGATCTGGATATGTTCTTGTTGACAATGAACGCAACACCATTCCTCTTCAATTTGTTTTTCCCTGCATAAGTAAACCATGTTTTTTTCAGATTCAAAATGGCCAATACCGGTCCATTTCAGCTCACTAATGCCTAAGATATTGATGTTTATGTATTCCACTTCATTTTTGACAATTTCCAATTTTCCTAGATTCATACTTCATACATTCCATATTCCAATTATTAGTGGATGTTCATAGCTGTTTCTCTTCATTTTGAGTTGTGCCCCATCAGCAAATGAAGGTCCCACGGGCTTTACTCCCACAAGCTTTACTCTATTTGTAACATCACGGTTAACTCTACTTTGAGGAGGCAGCTCTTCCCCAGTCACATTTTGAGTGACTTCCAACCGGAGGGGCTCATTTTCCGGGACTATATCTGACAGTGTTTCTCTGCTATTCATAAGGTTTTCAGTGACGAAATATTCGGAAGTAGTTTGTCACTCCTTCTTACTAGTGTGTCTTCATCTGGAAGGTCATCTGAAACCTGTCCACCATGGGTGACCCTGCTGGTATTTAAAATACCGG